TTCCTCCTCTCTCTCTCTCTCTCTCTCTCTCTCTCTCCTTCCTTTTCTTCCTTTCTCCATCTTTTTAAAAGATATTCATAGAAGTGTTAAATAGAGGTAGAACAAGATTTGCTAATAAGAGTTTTGTCTTATTAAAACTGGAATTTTAGCACATAAATACATACACGTGACTGGAACAAATGATTTTCTCCCCAATTATTACTATCGAATTATTTATAGCTAGAAATAAATATTGGAAATGAATATTGAAAACGAATAACCAGAAATAATTATGACAAATAAATTAATTAAGAAATAAAGCCATTTACTCATTACTATTTTTTTTTCATCCATCCACTTAACAAACTATTTCAACATTGTCCAATCCTACCATTTATTCATCATTCCTCTTTTAACACTCTTATTGCATTCTACTGTCCACTTCCAATTTTTTTTTCTTTTTCTAAATGACCTTTGATGGAACATTTCCTTTTATTTGTGTTTTTTCTAATAAAATTTATCGTCCAAAAAGATTTTGCATATGGCTGAACTTGTCCTTATCTTCCTTCTTTAACTTCCGCTAAAAAAAAAAAAAAAAAACTTGAAATTGTAATACGAAAAGTTGAAGTTGTCCAGGTTGTCCATATCTTTTGTATGTTTTATCTTCATTGATTTATTAATACTATTCTATCAAATTTGGTCGTAATAGAGTGAAAACGACAACAATTCTATCGATTGTTAAATTGATAAAATGATAAGTGAATTATGATATTATCGATTGTTAAATTGATAAAATGATAAGTGAATTACGATATTATCGATTGTTAAATTGATAAAATGATAAATGAATTAGGAACAAATGATTTTCTAAATCTCCTTGATGAATTTTTTTTCCTTCTTAATAAGCTCATAATTCATATCCTTTTTTAATTCGTTTTCTTTTTTTCAATCAATCAATCCATTAATTAATCAATTAGCTCAGCTAATTAGTCATAGTTCAAATGTAGATGGAGAAAAAAAAACGAAAGTTAAATTCCTTTCTTGATTTTATTATTAGCTTTAAAATATTATTATTTGTTTAGAATATGATGTAAAATTTTAATGATTAAAGCTAAAATTTTATAGAAATTTATTGTAGTGATTTTTTTTTTTTTTTTTTGTTAAAAATTTGTTAATTATATTAAAAATTACCGAAGTAAAAATTTTAATCATATAATTCATTGGAATTACTGTAATAATGAATGAATAGCATAAATAAAAAATAATATTTACGAATTAAATTTCCTTTTTTTTCTTCCTGTTAAAAATTTAACGAAATATACATTTAAACAATGTATGGTGAACATTCATAAAATCTGATGTTATTTTATTATTGGATGAAATGAATTATATTAATTATCTGAATAATATATTAGGATATTATCCGGTAGTTCTACAACATATCAGGAATAAATTTGACGGATTTTAATCAACAAAAAAAAAGAAAAAAAGAAAAACAAATGAAAAAGAATGAAAGAAAGGAAATAATTTCAAACTAACACAATTCATTTTTTTTTCAACACATTATGTCAATTTAATTATCTATAAATACTTGTTTTCCCTTTTCTTTTTTTTTCTGTTAGATATTTCATACTATCATCTCTCACTGATAATGATATCATACCAAATTTAAATGATAATATATAAAATAGCTCAGAAAATTTTGGATCCTAAAAAAAAAAAAGAAAGAATAATTTCTTTGTGTATATCATTGTATACATTATTTTTAGTTCATTGCATACTTTTTTTTCCTCAAATTTTATTAATTTCTATCAATTTTTATTTCTGATACAATATTTTTCGATTTCCAATAATACAAATGCCTAATACTATAGGTGGATATATTTATGAAAGGAATGAAATGAATTTATGGTAAAAATTACTATGAATTAACTAATGATATGATTTAATCAATTTAAAACAATAATGACTTATTCAATTTAATTCTGATAAATCGATATTAAACAAATAATTTAGATTGTAATAATGAATCACAATTTTATATTTATTCTTTATATAGTGCCACGGATATCACGATCATTTATATAAAGAAATATCTGACAATAATAATTCTGGAATTGTAATTTGAAAAAGGATGATGATAAGTGGTGAAAGAGACTGTTATCATATTAGTAACTTTCAAATTTTCATTTGAATATATGAAACATTTGAAAGATTATCAATTAATTACTACAAATAATTGACAATTCCTCGCATGCTTTATAAATTCAAATAAAAAAAAAGAAAAACTACTGTAGGTATAGTTGTTGGATTGGACAGAAAATAAAAAAGAAAAAATGATGATACATATTAAAAAATATAGCATTCCAACAAACTTTGATAGAACTGTTTCCATCATTAATTTTTATTGTTATTGTTCATTTATTATTATTATTATTATTATTATTATTATTACTATTATTATTATTATTATTATTATTATTATTATTATTATTATTATTACTTGTTATTATTATTATTATTACTTATTATTATTATTATTATTATTATTATTATTATTATTATTATTATTATTATTATTATTA